TTCACCATTTATTCACCTGCTTTGGGCTCAGGTCACTAATTATTCCTAGAAGTAAATTTCCCATATGCTAAAAGTCAAAAAAGTGATGATTAAAAAAAAGGTGAAGATGAGGCTAACAATTACAAAGTGGTTGGATGGTTGAAACAACTAAGGAGACCTGAGATAGAGTGAAATACATAATGTTACTTATTACCATATCAATGGATGTGAATACGCATAGTTTGTCTCTCACACACACAGACATAGGAATGAGAGAGAGAGAGAATAAGAGAATGAGAATTCATTCAGGTTTATGCCCATTTCTCCGAGTAATAGCAAATCAGAGGTAGGTGCATAGCTACCGTCTTTCCCTCAAAATAAAACTCTGCTGAAAAATAATCAACTTTGACAGATAGTAATAAAAAAAATGCCACCCCAAATCAGCCTATCCTTGCCTTACCTGCCTCACAGAGTAGCCACCGAGCAAGAGAATAATGTTGACAGGTACAGTTGGTAAAGCTGTACCAAACATTACAACTTTTAAAATAAAGAAAGCTATCCTATTCCTACAAAGTTCTCGTGAGTTGAGTTAAATAAAAATATTATTCACACAGTAATTAACAAATATAAAGTACTGTTATATAATAGCATATGAGATTATGTTTATGTCTTCTAATAGTAATATTTGTATCAAGGAAACCCCATTACTTTACATTGTAACATCTGTTGCACATGAGCAAAGCAACCTATGCGTGTGTACAGATTAGAAAAGGTTGGTTAGGCTGGGAGATAAATAAATTTATCTGGAGAGAAGCCATGTGACTACCATGCTTGCCAGATGTGGAAGTGGTGTAAAGTTGATATGATGAATAAAAAGAGAAATAATGTATTTTGACCTCATATTATAAAAATTTGATACTGATTATATAAATCAATGCTAAGGGACTTAGTGGTAGTATAAATAAATACAACTGTGTCCACTAATGCCGCTTCCTTGGTTATGGTCCTGACCAGCCCCAGAACTCAAGCTTGGCCTGATGCTCTGTGATCTGAAACCTATTATCATCAGTTCAGGTTTCTCTGCTGAGCTTCATATCTAAATTTCTAACTGCCTGATAGCTCAAGCTCACATCTTGTGAATGCTTCAAACTTAATGTATCCTACACTTAAACATGAACTGTTCCTTTCAACAGAACAATAAAAGTCAGTAGTACAACTATGTTAGCTATTTATCTGAGTATACAAATTGAAGATATCAGTATGTAATACAACAACCATTATTAATTTCCTATCACCTTGTCTGAGATTCTGTACTGCTTGTATTGTCTTTGTGTTATTTTCTAAACGTATGTGTGTTTCTTAAGATGTTTTTGTTCTTTTATCTTTAAAATTTTAACAAAAGCAAATTATGTACCAAAAAACCACAAATTTATCATGTCCTAAACTAACCTAAACCAAACTCCCAAATATACTATTATTTCAGTTTCTTCCAATTAAGTTAGTGAAGTTACCATCTGCTCAAGTCAGAAATTATTGCATCTTTGACTTTTTCTCCCAAATCCTTTATATGCTGTCATTATCTGATTTTATTAATTCCATGTTAAATGATACAAAATTTCCTCATCTTTTCCTCTATTACTGCCCTTAACTTGATTTAGGCTCTTGTATCTTTTATTTAAGATATTATAATTATAGTGGGGGACTTTATAGGATTAAGCTCTAGTTAGATAATTACTCTTTGAACATTATATACTTTCAGGTACCGCTATTCCTTTCCACTTGATCTAAACTTCTGTTTCATTCCCTTTTAAAATCTTTGTGTTTTTATCTGCCTTCTCTGTTGAACAGTACCTTGCAGAAAAGCAAGAATCTTGTCTCATTTATATTTGTGTCCTTAGCAACAATCGTAATACTTGTGTTTTGTAGACGTCAGAAAATGTTTGTTATTAAAGAGATTGTAGGTGCTATAGAATAAAAGGCTCTGGATAAAAACAAGTTTGAGCATTTTAATAATAAGTTATTCCACTAGATTGTAAATAATTTGAAAATTCTCCTATTGAGTAACTCAATTCCACATTATCTTCTCCCTTGTTGTACAATAAGGCTGTTAAATTAATTTAATTGGTGCAGAAATTTGATTTTGCTCTGCATTTCTTCCATACTCTTTTATTTGCCCATTTAATTCATGAGAGAAATGAAAAAACAATTTGTAACACCCTTTTAAAATCTTATGTTATATGCAAATATTCACATAAAAGGAATTCTAAATCCCTAAATTGTCTTTCTTCTTATTTATTATTTTATATCAATATAATAGAGCCTTAATCAAAGCTTCTCTTGGAAAATATCCTAAACACAAATAATATTGTGACATCAAAACCAGCAACAAAGAGAAACTAGGTCTCCAAGAACTGGATCAAAGTACTCATCATCTCATATCACAGGTGAGGATCATTTGTTTTCTTAGGAGCTGGGACTTGGGGTGGCTTTTGAATAAGAATCAACTTGGCAAACGAAAGCACTAGACTGTTGCCAAGAAAGAAAAAAAGCAAGACTTTGGATTAATAATTTAAGAAGAAAAAATCTTAAATGAGACACATGTACCAGATCCAAAAAGGGGTTTAGTTGACTAAAGACCAATTAACCAAGTGACCAACCGTTTGTTGTGTTCAGATGCACATGTGTGCATGCATCTGTGCATGGGTATACACACACACACCTACTATGTTTCTTACTTCCATTCAATAAAGTTACATGACTATTATTTCCCTTTTAGCCTTTGAGACTGGGCTCACTAGGGCAAAACTCAGCACTCTAGTCTACTAAGTTCATGATCACTTGTGGAATAATTATTCCATACTCCTTTGATATTTTACCTTTCATTTTCTTTTTAAATTTGTGCAAATGTACTTATATATAATAGAATAAATAGTACACTACCAGGTACTAGAATAGGACAGCAGTATTTCTCTGAAGTCCACAGAATTTGTTCTTTACTCTTTCACCTCGAACTTCTTCCAACAAAGCATAGCACAGAAATAGGGTAAGTACCTAATGTGCCAGGTACAAAGAGCACAGAATTTGGCCTAGGAAGTCATGGATGTAACCATGATTAAGATAGTAAGAATTCATTTTGATTTATAATGAAATAAAATATTATCAAAATTATATACAAATTACATAAAGATATAAATATTATTTTAGTAGTTAAAGTCAGGTTTTCTTTGAAGGAGGAAACGTCTTTGAAGAGAAACATTACTGAGCTCTTCAATTTGGATTAATAGATGCTAAAAAAAGAAATATGAACTTCCTGAATAATTAATAATAATTTTTTTAAAAAACACAAAAATTTGGGAGGGGCAAGCAGACTAGAAGAGTGAGGATAATGGAATGATGAGAAAGAATATTATTACTCATAAAGACTTTTAAAAACAGGGAGATCTGGTATGGCCTTTGCAGTTAGGGGTGTTAGTATAATAGAAACTCTCACTCTATCTCTGACACCCTCAATGAGTCTAGCCTTACATAAATGCCTTTGTGTAAGTGTTATATTGTTCTTCTTCATTTTCATTTTATTTTGTTGGCTTTGGGTGCAAGCTGATGTTGACACTTTGGTTGAGGGATTGTGAAATAGCAATATCACATGAAATGTAGCAACATGATCTTTACACTGAAATTATTTAGTGTCTGCAATAACTAAAAGCCAGAGATAAGCCATGATATCATATAAGCCCCGGAGGCCATCTGAATACATTTTGAGAGACTATTGACTTTTCCTGGGAGTCGAAAGCATTCAAGCCAACCTCGTCCATATTCTAGGGGAAGTTAAGACCTCATCTATCCTCCAGTCTCATAAATGGTGCTTCAAACTCTTTTTAAAACCAGAGACTTACCAATTAAAATTATTTCCTTGCACCCATGAACCCATATGCTTGTATGAATAGATGTGTTTAAAATAATGCAAAAACCAGGCATGGTGGTGCATGCCTGTAATCCCAGCACTCAGGAGGCTGAGGCAGGAGGATCATTGCAAATTCAAGACCAGCCTGGGCTACAAAATGAGATCAAGGTCAGCCTGAACTGCATAGTCAGACCCTGTCTCAAAACAAAAACAAAATATAAATAAATAAAATAAAATAAAAATAACGCCAGAAATGCAATGTATATTATCAAATCAAAGAAAGACTTTAGATGTAGATTGCTGAGTTTTGAATTTATATACAAGAGAGTTATAATATGAAGTGAATGACAGAAGATAAACATGGAAAGGACAAAACATTAGCATTTGAAGACTGTAAGTACATGTTATGTGTGCATTTGGTTTTGTCAAAAATATAAAGTTTGATCTTTCATCACATTTTCAGATCCACTTTCTGACTAAAGTGTCTCCTCTCTAACTAGATACCTGGGAGAAATAAGAAATAGTAGAAAGGATTGTTTCTGTCCCCAGTGAGTTTAAAATCTACTTTAAAAGATGAGATTTGAAGATGTTAAAATAATAATAATTGCTCTACACTTTATGAACTATTTATTGTCATGTTATCCCATGTAACCTTACACTGGTAAGGCAGTGGCCACCGTATCCATTTTAGAGTTGAGACTACGAAGGCCTAAAGAGAGAACTGACTTAATCAAACTTGGCCACAGTGCCATTTCTGGCTAAACACACTTTCATACTTTAATCCCATATTTCTTCCCTGAACAACATAATTCAGATTTAGTTATATGAAAATTTAAGACACCCTGTTTCCAACAAATGCAAACAGACAAGTATAAGAGTTGCAATTTTTAAGCAATATTACACTAAAAGGGGAAATGATATAGCATGTTATGATGAATATAAATATAACATATACTCATATATTAAAAAAACTATACTCCTCACTTTAAAAGTTGTGTAAACCTATTAAAGTATTTGTCTATATAAGTCCTGGTTGTAATTTTTTGATGGTACATGTTCTAGAAACACATAGCTTCATCAGCACAGCTAATCTAAGAGTAATGTTCAAGCTGCCTCCTACCTTGCAAATTTTGAGGAACTTCTCACTGGTGTATATCATTGGGTGCTCAGTGAAGGTAGCATAAGGAACTTCTGTGGACCATGGGTTCCAGCGTGACAACAGGGACTGCTCCTCTGAACTTCCCCAGTAGATCCTAATGCCTTCTCCAGGTCTCCTAAGACAAAGAGTTTTTTATTAGTAGCCATTTCCATCAGAGTAAAACAAAATGTGTGGAAAAGGAGTGTAATGCTTCAGTTAGACTTTACACTGCTGCTGAAATAAAAGGATTACTGCCCATCTAGTTAAATTGTTCAAGATAATTGAGGTGAGAAGAAAAGAATTACGCTATTTTCACAGAGTAAGTTTGAAGTGCTGTTGAGAATTTCACATGAATATGAGAGCCTGGTGCTTAGGACAGTGGGGAGAGCTGAAAAGATGTATAACTTCATGCTGATATTCTGATGGTAGGAGTTAAAAAAAAATTGGAGGTATCAAAGAGATGTGATGAGAACAGAGAGTTAAGGGGGGAGATGGTCTCAAAAAGGAAGCAGATCACATGGCAATCAATAGTGGCAATTCCCACAAAATAGTAAGCAGATGAGAGCACTGACTGAGAAGACTAAGGATTTTCCAAGTTGTGGGACATATATATGATACTTGAAAGGGATGATGATCAGTTCAATATCCCCAGCTTCTTAATTCAAGGACCTCAGTTTCTGTCCTGGTCCTCTATTCTCTGCACATATTTTATCCAGTATAACTATAACAATGGATATGTCAGTGTTTATAGAAAGAAAGTGACTGTCCATACCCATCAGAGCAACAGTCCTGATCCACAACATGTCCAAGTCTGGACATCCCTCAACTCAAGTGCAGGGTAACAGAAAGTAAGTTTACAAATAAAGAGAGAGAAGTCACAGCAGGGGAGTGTGGCTACATTAAATTACAAAACTCATTTCTGTGGCCTCTGCTTTTAGATATCCATCAGAACTTAAATTTTGTGGGTTTAGACATCTCTGAAAGCAGAGATACCTGGAGGTGAAGACAAGCTCAGGTACCTTGTACTAAACAGGCTTTAAAGTTAAGTTGCCCGTAATTGTAAGCAGACCCACAAAACATCACAGAGGTCTCATTTCTGCTAGAAATTAAATCCCCGGATTTTTAGAATGAAAAACCGGAGCTTAATTTTGGTGGCTTCACAAAGCTGTCACTTCCTGTATTAAGGAAGGATTCCCTTGGGAATGCTATTGTAGTTTCTCAATGTTTCTCCACGTAGAGATGTGTATAAACACACTCTCACCTATATACATAGAATAGCTCATTCCATAACTGGCTGATCCCTGAGCTGCTTCTTACAAAGGCAAAGGAAGAAAAGAGCCTGGTATGATCTGCTGCCCAGGTCTCAGATTTATGATAATATTTGAAAGCTGACACTCAACATTTTTGTACTTAATCTTTTGTGCCTCACAAAGAAAGAAGAAAAAGACAGAGGAAAAGAACAAAAATATTGTGCATGCCTCTAAAGTTTTCTTTTAAGACTCATCTCAGCTGCTAGACTAACATTTATCAGCTTTCTGTACTTTCTTTTACTCTGTTTTGGTAATAAACCCTAAGCTCCATGAATATTCTATGCATGTTGGTTAATGGAACATTTTGGCTTGAGTCCATTAAAACAACTTGCACAATAGAATTATTTACTGCTTCATATGTCAACTTATATACTGGATGCAAGTTTACTTTTACCCAAAGGGGATGAAAACCTGCCAGGAGAGCTTCTCTAATAGGTGCACATTATAGTATTTTACCTTTGAAAAATCTCACATGAAGTTCAAACATGAAATTCAAGAAGGACTCTATTTCTAAATAACCAATCAATTTGATTGCATTAAAGAACCTTCTCATACATGTGCTATATTCCCAAATATATGGACTCAGTCAATCTTTCCTGAACTCAAGAGGTAAAAACCGCTAAGATGAATCTAAACCTAAGTAACCTTTCCAGGGGTAAGACTACAAGTGCAACTTATTGAGCTTTATGTTACTTGATATCCACCACCATCTTCTCTTCTGTCAAGTGTCCTCAGAGCATTTATGGAGGCTATACATGCCTATAAGACCAGAACTGCTTCATGCTACTAACTTGTACTTAAATGAGAAACAGCCTGACCTAATAGAATGGAGTAAAAATGCAACAAATAAAATGTCTGATAGTCTTGCATTTAAGTGTTGATTTTTGGCACTTATTATTATGTGATTATGGGCCAGTAACATTTTCTTTTTCTCATTCTGAATTTGAATCTGAATCATTCCTCTTTCTTAATCTTCTCCAGGCTCCTGAATGGGAAGGTGCACCCTCCAGGTTTTTCTTGGAGTCCCCTCAGAAGCTTTGACTGGAGGCCCCCATCAGACCAAAAGGAAGGAAATGACACAGTTGGGTCAGGACATCAGATAAGGTAAGACTCCCAGAGGAACCCCAGTCAGTCCATCAGTCCTGATCAGTTAAAGAAGAAAAGGAGCCTGATCCACTCTTGTTAGTTAAGGACACCTTCAAGGGTAGGGGGTTGAAATGTTTAACCTTTGAGATGCTGTTAAATGATTGTGTGAGTGTTTGTGACAGATGACAAAAGCAATAGGTCATTCTGTCTGTGTTCCATGGTGAAAGACACCTCCAGGAACTCAGAGCTATAGAGCTTGAGTGGGTTAGGTTTCTGTGGTTCTATCATCTCATCATACGCTAAAAGGTGACTCAGCTCTAGTAATGGGTTTCTGACCAGCTTCAGAGTATATATGAGTGCACCAAATGCCAATGGACTCCCATCCTTGTGAGGGGAGCAGCCAGAGCTGATGAGCGCTAGACGAACACCCACCCTTTGCCTTTTGAGCACTCATTCAAGGGTACACAACATACATGGTAAGCAGACAGAATGAGTGCAAGCCAGAGTAAACCTATGGTCCTTGATTGTACGCTGAAAAACTTCAAAAGAGAATTTTCTGATGACTACAGAGTGAAATGGATCCTCAGAAGCTCTGTGCCTTTTGTGAAATTAAATGGCCAAAACTTTGCCTCAACTGGCCATCTGAAGGGACACTTGATGAAACTGTCCATGCAGTCTGGCATAAAGTGACAAGGTCCAATGGATGAGGCCATCCTGACCAGTTTCCCTACATTGACTCCTGGCTCAACCTGTGTCAGAGCCTTCCACCTTGGCTCTGCATCTATGTCCTGCATGACAAGAAAGATATCCTGGTTCAAAACAAACCCACAAGGCTGTTAGAGAGGCTCTCATATTCAGCCGAAGCCAAAAAATTTCTATCCTGTTCTGCCTGATGACCCTGAGTCTGACCTGCCTCCTCCTTACGTTCATCGCCCCAAGATGCTCACCCAGCCACAACTTCCTTACTTCCAGCTCTGTCTCTGATAACACAGCCTCCAGATTCCATATGTGGCATCACAGATTTTGATCCAAATGACTTGGGAGTGGTCCATTTCATATTTGTCAGAGAATGTACACTCTGTGGCTAAGGGCTGGTCTCCCTGCCTGAGAGCACTGGCAGCAACTGTCCTTCTGATTAAAGAAGCTGACAAGTTGACCCTAGGAAAAAATCTGACAGTTCAAGTCCCACATGCTCTTCTGGAGTTGGTAAATAGTTGGGGACACCATTGGACATGTTACTCTATATCAAGGACTGCTTTGTGAAAATCCCTGGCCCACTTTTTAATTGATTAAACTTGTCAACCCAGCTACCTTCTTGCTCACTGAGATTGCCCCCCTCCCCACCATGACTGTCTAGCTTTGAATGATGAGCTTTTTGTTAGCTGGCTGGATCTATAGATGGATCCTTTGTTTGATGCAGAGTACACACTTTTTATGGATGGAGGTAGCTCAGTTAAGGATGGGAAATGTCAGGCTGGATACGCTGTCATTACTACAGAGAAAGTGCTCTTAGCCAGACTTCTTCCACAAAACTGAATTATGAGCTTGACATAAGCTTTTAACTGGGAAAAAGAAAAAAATAAACATTTATACTGACTTGCGACATGTTCGTGTCCACAGAATGCTGTACAAGGAACATGGATGTCTCATGGTGGAAGGAAAGCAAATAAAAAACAAGGATGAAATCTCTCAAGTCCTGACTGCAGTTTGAAAGCCTAAGAAGGTTGCTGTTATCCACTGTAAAGGACACTAGGAAATAAAGATGCCATCACTCTTGAAAATCACAAGGCAGATGAAAATACAGAATTGGCAGCAAAAGGCTCTACTTTGCAGACAAATGATTTTAAACAGAATTTGAAAATCCGACAAGAAATGCCCGCCTGATACTCTCCTCAGTTTTTGCAGTGAGCCCCTGTGCTATTCCAAGGAAGAAAATAAATGGACACAATAGGAAGGGGGTCATGTGGAACCAAACAGTGCTTGGACTATACCAGATGACTGACCTTCAGAATTTGACCAATGCTTGGGTAAAGCACCATTATGACACCCCAGGTAGAGGAAAAACTGCTATGAATCAAATTCTAAGACATTAGTTTTATATTCCTAAATTAACCTCAATATATGCCTCTAATAGTCAGAGATGTCAAATCTGTGCAAGGACTGAGCCCCCCATCTGGGCCTAAACCCCCACCAGGTATTCAGTATGCTGAACTTTCCCCTTTTGAAGATTTGCAAGTAGACTTTAAAGAAATACTGCCAACGGGCCTGCATTTGTGGTAGAAATAACCCCAAAGCTGACTAAAGAGGTAAAAATCAAATAAAATTTACACACAACATACAAAATTCTGAGAAAGTTGAAAGAATAAATAGGACATTAAAGTCAATATTAACTAATTATCACCCAGAAACTCAAGCACCATGGATAGATTTACTTCCCTTGGCCCTTCTCAAGGTCTGAAGTTCACCAGGACACACAGGGTGTACATCTTTGAAGTTTTGTATGGGAGACCTCCTACCATAATTAGAGGTCTCCAGGGAGACTTACATCAGCTAGGTAACATAACCTTGCAGAAACAACTTAATACAGTCAGGAAGACCTTCTTCTCAGATACACAAAAATATAGCTGAACGACAAGCCCATACCCATAGATACACCTGCTCGTACATATAGCCCTGGGGATATGATTTGGATAAAAGATTGGAAGAAAGAACCTTTGCAGCCTACCTGGAGAGGCCCCTA